GGCACTACGCTACCAGAGCTCCCAACTTCAGCACTTTAGAGAGGTCTTTTGCAGCAAATTTGCCCACTGCAAAACATCATCTGATGTCTTGACTGCTGCTTCCATTGGTGTTGATTGTGGAACCAAGTAATATGAAATCTTTGACAACTTCAATCTTTTCTCCATTTATTGTGATGCTGCTTATCAGTCCAGTTATGAGGATTTTCGTTTTCTTTATGTTGAGGTGTAATCCATACTGCAGATTATAGTCTTTAATCTTCATCAGTAAGTGCTTCAAGTCATCCTCACTTTTAGCAAGCAAGGTTGTGTCATCTGAATATTGCAAGTTGTTAATGACTCTTCCTTCAATCCTGATGTCATATTCTTTTTTATATAGTCCAGCTTCTCTGATTATTTGCTCAGCATACAGAATGAATAAGTATTGTGAAAGGATACAACCCTGACACACTCCCTTCCTGATTTTAAACCATGCAGTATCCCCTTGTTCTGTTTGAACAATAGCCCCCTGGTCTATGTACAAGTCCCTCATGAGTACAACTAAGTGTTCTGGAATTCCTATGCTTCTCAATCTTATCCATAATTTGTTATGATCCACATAGTTGAATGCCTTTGCATAGTCAATAAAACACAAGTAAACATCTTTCTGGTATTCTTTTCTTTCAGCCAAGATCCATCTGATATCAGCAATGATATCCCTTGTTCCATAGCCTCTTCTGAATCCAGCTTGCATCCTGGAAGTTCCTTGCCAATATACTGTTGTAACTGTCTTTGAATTATCTTCAGCAAGATTTTACTTGTGTGTGTGTATTAATGATATTGTTCGATAATTTCCACATTCTGTGGGATCACCTTTCTTTGGAATGGATACAAACGTGGATCTTTTCCAGTCAGTTGGCCAGTTAGCTGTCTTCCAAATTTCTTGGCATAGACGAGTGAGTGCCTCCATTGAGATGGGTATTCCTTCAATTCCTGGAGATTTGTATTTGCCAGTTCCTTCAGGGTAGCTTTGACTTCTTCCCTCAATACTATTGGTTCTTTTTTTTCTTTTTAATTGTGATTTGGGTGAAAATTTACAGAGCAAATTCACTTTCCATACAGCAGTTCACATACATTTTGTGTCATGACATTGACTACAATTCACTGCAATACAACAGCTCCTCTCCCATTTCCTCTCAACAGTCACTTCTTCCCTGTGTCCATCCCTCCATGCACCCCTGCCCCCGAGCTCTCTCCCTGTGCATAAACAGCCTTTTTTACTCCTATAGTGCTGGAAGCCACAGGTGTGGATTCAATTCCAGACCTGAAGGGCAGCTAGGGGCCATAGTCTCAGTGGTTCCACCAGATAAGCAAACCTGGTCCCACTTTTTTTTTTCAAATGATTTTGAGTTTTTTTCCACATTGTTCTCCCTCTCTATCCAAGATCTCCTACATAGATTCCCCTCCGAGTGGTTGACAGTGGTCGCCAGGCATCATCTAGTTCTTCTGGTCTCATAGTCGTATAGGCTGCAGACTGCATGGTGTACCAGTCACTAGAAGTAATTCATTCCATGAATCTTTCTTTCCATCTTTTTTTTGATGTTTCTTGCATCATTCAATATTTTGCCTATAGAATCTTTCAATATTACAACTTGAGGCTTGAATTTTTCCTTCAGTTCTTTCATCTTGAGAAATGCTGAGTGTGTTCTTTCCTTTTGGTTTTCTAATTCCAGGTCTTTGCACATTTCATTATAATAATT